CAGGGTCTTGCTCTCCCTAGAGTCGGTGTATAATGAGTCACGCCAAGAGTGAAGCCAAGTCTACCTTTTGAACTGTCAAACCGGCTACCTATCGTGCAAAATAAATAAACATTACGATGCTATGAAAGGTCCACGAAAGGTATTGCAATAAAATATAAAATATAATCGAAGAAATGAGCATAAACACGCAGTGAGCGTTAAATTGTCATGGGATACGCTCGGTAATGATTAGTAATAAGAATTTCTACTATTTTTTGTTAAAATAATTTGACAAAATCACTGATATAATGATTTACTACAGCCGCAATATTTTTTCTCTCGCTAGAAGTCATTTGAAGTTGTTGTAGAAGTCCTCTGTTGCCAAGTGAAAAGAATGGGAATCTTCCGAAAACCGTGATGCGAGTTCAACTGTTTTTCTCTTGGCGTGACTCATTATACACCGACTCTAGCTCTCCCCACTAACCAACTCACTAATCACATTCCGAATCGGCATTCTGATCGGCATGATATCTGAATGCCACCCTCTTCCCAACTTCGATCAAACTGTTCTGAAACATCAAAGGCTTCCGCACCAGATATTTGAACAGTTCGAGGTTCTCCGATCTCGAAGTCTTCCGATAGCTACTCCAGCACCATCCGGAAGAATTCCAGTTTACAGCCTTCTTGATGACCTCGCTCTTCCTAATGTTTTGAAAATATTTGCGGAATCCACGGCAGAACTTCAACGGAAATTCCAATTATTTTCAAAACATTAGGATGCGCGAGAAAAAATTGGATTGTGTAAACAACAATGATTAATATTTTGATAGATGCACAGAGCAGGCGCATATATAGTACAGTGTTGCCAGTAGCTTTAATTATCATGAAAATGTCTAACCATGGGTGTGAATGAAAGTTCACAGGTGTGCTCATCTGTATATTTCACACACACACACTCCCAAAGATGCGACACCTGCAGAACAATAATGACGGTCGAGCACATTCTTATAAACTGCCCTTGTTTCCACGGACCACGAGAACTTTACGGGATCCCGGGCAACATCCGAGACGCCCTTCAGAACGACCCGGTAGCAGAGGCACAACTGATATGTTTCGCGAAGGAGGCCGGAATCTACAAGAGGGTTTAACCCATATACATTATGACAGTAGGCCCGGCATTCCCTGCCGGTAGCGGGTGCCAGGTCTCTCCTGGCAGCTGCTACCGGTGGGGCTCTGATGGGGTCCTCAAAACAAAACAGAAAACACAAAAGATGACAGCAACATAGGACAGTAAGGCAAAATAAGTTCCCCTCTGGAACCGCAACCATCATTCAACTCCGCAACATAAAAACTCTGTACCTTCTCTCCCTTTGGGATACCCCCTTCTGGGGTGTCCGGAGACGAACCAGCCCAGGGCTAAAAGTCTCCTTAGTAAAGATATAAAAAAAAATATATTTGACACACTGTTCGGAGTAACCAGCCCTTTGGAAAAAAAAACCCGAAAAGGCGGAATCATGTCAGATCCGACCAAGGATGATCCACGGAAGGAAACTGCCGGTGAAGTTTGGAATGAAATACGAAGCGTTTGAGAAAAATTACAACGAATTCCAAAAGAAGCAGTCAATGGCGGCAGACCAGTGGAACATGGTGCGACCGGGCCAATCATTCTTTATAAATTAAATATCAAAATCAAAGTGCCAGGTTTGAAGAAAATATCCATTTGATATTGGTGATGCGTACACGCGGGGCTTATTGTAAGTGAAAGTAATATTAGTTATTATTATCCACTTTTCCAAGTTTTTATATTAGAATTTTCATTACTTACTATCCATGGAACACCACCATTTGTGTGAAAAATAGCCTTGATTTAATGATACATTTACCGTTTTTTCTCCAGAAGTTTGGAAATGTTCCCGGTTATGCAATACACAAGTAAATTAAGCATGACTACGACAGCAGGACTTGAATTTAATTCGGTGTTCGAAGTCTTAAAAATTTGTCTTTGAAAATTCACTCAAAACTCAACAGGATGTGATGTGATTATTCTCAAGCATTTCCTATCAAATCATTTCCCTTTACAGAGCTCTTTTCAGAATTCTTCTAAAATATGTTCTCTAAACTATTATTAAATTCACTTAACTCCCTTTCAAATTATCTAGAAATTCTTTTCGAGATGCCCTTGAAATTATACTAGAAATTTCCTTTAAACTCTTCGAAATTTCTTTGGAATTGTACTCTGAAAGATCGTTTCCCTTGGTATTTTTCATGGATCCTGGAATCCTCTGCACATTCGTTATACATTTTTCCATAAAGCTATTTGAAAAAAATACTCTGAAATTACACAATTGACATGGAGTTTTAGACAAATTTCTCTTAAAGTTTATCTCTAGAATTGATTGTTAAATCTGCTCAAAGTTGCTTCGGAAGTGTTTTTCTAAAATTCCCGTAATATTGCTTCAGTGACTGTATCCCGAAAATCTAGTCCAGTCCAAAGGTCTTGACAATTTTTCAAAGTCCAATGTGATGATGTGATCAAAATTCGCGTGACTTTGAAATCCTGGATTTTCTCGATTCACTGGTCACCCTGAGTGATGCCTCATAGCTTCAACTAGAGTCGGTGTATAATGAGTCACGCCAAGAGTGAAGCCAAGTCTACCTATTGAACTGTCAAACCGGCTACCTATCGGGCAAAGTAAACAAGCATTACGATGCTATGAAAGGTCCACGAAAGGTATTGCAATTAAATATTAAATAAAACCGAAGAAATGATCATATACACGCAGTGAGCATTACATTTGTCATGCGATACGTTTTGTAATGATCAGTAATGACAATTTCTACAATTTTTCCTTAAGATAATTCGACAAAATCACTGATATAATGATTTACTACAGCCGTTAATTTTTTTCCTCGCTAGAAGTCATTTGAAGTTGATGTCCTCTGTTGCCAAGTTAAAAGAAAGGGAATCTTTCGAAAACCGTGATGCGAGTTCAACTGTTTTTCTCTTGGCGTGACTCATTATACACCGACTCTAGCTTCAACCAGCTCGACTATAGATGAAGATTTCCGTTAATTTGTTAAGTGTTAACTTGCTATTGGGTACTGTCGGGCGGTGATGGTGACTCACGGTGGATGTGATTTGACAGAAGCATTTTGGAACGACGAAGAGCTCTTCTCACTGCACCGTGCAGTGTCCAGGCCAGACTGTATTTTCGGTGGTATGATAGAGTAAACTAGTTATAGTTGCCCCTTTCTTACCAACGGAAATCCAATCCGGCCTGGACACTGTACGGTGTAGTGTGCAGATCCCTTTCCACTGCACCTCCTTTCCCATTACTCTGACGTTGTTTGCTAGCTCCGACGAGCTCGACTATCTGGCAGCAACTGCTGGTGACAGTTTTGTGGCCGAACATTTCGGCTGCTCTTCCTCTTCCACTATTCTTGCGTAATCAGTTTTTTCCGAGCTCCGATCAGATCGCCAGGAAGCGCTGTGGAAGGCAAATTTACGCACGAGTTCGAAAGTGATGTCCGTGCGAGGGAATATAGATCCATCCCATTTGTCCGCTCTTCAGATTAGTTTGGGAAATCTTCCTTTGTTCGTTAAATTTCATAATTGATTAACTATTTTCATAATTTGTAATATGCACCAAAAAATTGCTGAATAAATTCTCCGTCGACTGACATATTGCATGACACATTTTCCATTAATTTTTTTGAGAAATATGCGTTTGAAAACTGCCCCCATTTTCGTTACATGCCAAATTTTTGATTTCATAATGTGACCCCCAGTATAGTAAAGAAATACGTAGTCCTACGGTTTTCCAAAGACAAGAGCTTTCTGGATGGTTAAAAATCTCGATACGCACCATGTACAGGAAATTCATAGTTCTTTTAGGCTATTTGTGACTTGTCTATGGATGAGCTCTTGACTATCAGTGCAAGAAGTAATCAAGTCGCATGCTCAGAGAAGTCACGTGCGACCTCAAATAAAACAAACAAACTACTTCTATTTTATAAAATATCGCACAATGCACAACTGGCCCAATTTTCGCTACCCAACATTCCGCCAACGTCCAGCTCTGGTGTCGATCGAAAATCCTAAATTCATACAACTAAATCAGCGTTAATCGCTAAACGGTAGTCGAAAATTGCATCTAAGCAAAATAGCTCGCAGCGTAAAACATTTATCAGCAAATTTATAAATCACAAACTTTTGCTCCGATATTCCCGAAAACCCCTCCTTGGCCCACTTCCCAAACGAAAACGAGTCCAGCCATTAATCACATTAGAGAGTTTACCCTGCCCTTGGTTGCGCTGGCTGTTACGCCAAACTCCCAGTCCCGCTGCTGGCCTCCGATCCTCCGGAGCTATCCAGCGCACTGTAGACTAAGTTTCGTACTTGAACTGATTCGCGATTCATGGCCAACAACAGCAGCCATCGCGCCGTCCTGCCTTGACTGAGCTAGTTTACGATCGCCCGGCTAATAAATTACATTGGAGAAAATGAAAATTAATTCTAGCAAATTAAGACAATTAGCGAGAAAGCGCTGGGCGAACCCAACCTTTCGGTGTCCGCCTGACCGAACTGCTGGATTGACTTCTGCAGAATTAATGGAAACCATCCTGCAGAGCACTATACTTTTCGTAAACAATCACAAAATAACCGGAGGAATTATACGAAATAATTCCAGATCGTTAAAATACAATTTTCGAAGCAGAACGCTCCGTCGCAACCGAATTATCACGAATTCAATTTATGTGAACCATTGAGATTGCTCCTCTCTCACTCGAGCTGGGGCGAACGGGAAATGCTCAAAAGATTAATAAAATTAAGTGTCGCACGATTGCTGCTAGAAAATGTGTACCAAGCATCGTGCTCGTTTCAATTGGCCCCAAACTAATGGTCGTTCGTTTTCCCAGACCATCACCGTTGCATCACCCGCCGCCTCCCGGCACTCAATTGGCTTGAAGTGATTTTCTAACCGGTTCTCTCCCTCCATCTCTGCTTTCCCCTTTTCCAGCTGAGTCAAGACATCGGCTACGTGCTGTACTCGGCGCTCGGATCGTTCTACATTCCCAGCTGCATCATGGTGTTCGTCTACATTAGGATCTACTACGCGGCGAAAGCACGAGCCCGGCGGGGGATCCGGAAAAAGCCGCTCAAACCGCCCAGTGAACAGGTGAGTGCCCGGGAATGGGTTCGATTCAAAACGGATGTACCGAGGGATGTTGGACGAGATTTATTTATTGGGGGAAATGTTTCAATTAGTGGGTGGGATTGGAGTATTTCGTCATGTCGTCGAGATTTTCGGTGAAAGGTGTTGAAAGCATATTGAAATGGATTTAATAAACAGCTTTGGAGAGCTTTTCACAGACGCTTATGGAGCACATAAAATATGCTCTTAAAACTTCTCACAGATGCCTGAATAAATCTCGCATGAATTTAGAACCTCACAGATGCTATAATAGCTCAAATTATCTCTGACAGCTTCTCATACAAAAAAGGAAACGTGTCTCATAAAATAAGGAAGAGCTTCTCATGGAAGTAAAAAGAACTTTTCACAGAAGCATTAATGTTTTTTCATAGAACATTGAAAAGCTTTTCACAGAAACATAAAAAGGTTCACACAGAAGCTTGAAATGTTTCTCACATGAACTAGAAAAGCTTCTCGCAGAAGATTGAAACGAATGCTTCCTAGAAAAGCTTCCCACAGAAAAAAGTAAAGCTTCTCACCAATTCTGAAAATGATTGTCACATGAGCTAGAAAAGCATCCCACAGAAACAGAAAAGCTTCTCATTAAAGATTAAAATGATTCTATTCTAACTTCTCTTTGAATCAGGAAACGCTTCTGGAATAAATACGAAGAGTATCTCACAGAAACATGAAAATATTCTCACAACTATATGAAAAGCTTTTAACACACATGAAAAAGCACCCCATCTAAGCATCAAACCTTTTTACAGAGGCTTGAAAAGCATCACACGGAAGCTTGAAAAGTCTCTCAAATATCCTTGAGCAGCCTCACACAGAATAAATATGCCCATAAAGCATCCAAAAGAAACAAAAAAGTTTCTCACCAAAAAGCTGAAAACCTTCTAACAAAAGCAACAGAAGCTCATAGGAACAGGAAAAGCTTCTCACAGAAGAGTTGGTTGGAAATGCTAACATGAAGCTTTAGTGTGATGATTTATTAGCTAGAGAATGATCTTAAGAAGAGGGTAGGTGGATAGTTCCGTTAGAGTACGGCAGTATGAAAATTGAATAGAAGTTGAAAATGAGCGAAGGGCCATTAATGCGACAGTTTTTCAAGATAGACGCACATTTTTGCCTAACCAAGCATTTCCAACCAACTCTGAAAATCGTTAACTTCGCGTATGAAGTAACATAAAAACACTTTGAATGTAACAACTCAAGGCGGGAGTAGCCGTCAACAATGCTGATGATGGTACAGTACGCAACAACCACCCTACTGCTTTCTCTCTGAGATGATCACGTTGGTCATGACGAGAGGAGCAACACATTAGTTGAGTAAAGAAGAACTGCATTATAACACACCATCGACTGGAAATGCTCTCGCAACGTGGGGCTTTAGGTAGTGATGAAAACGTCGCTAGAACTATTCCACAGCCGCAGTCAGTTTATGAGCAAAAAGAGGGACGCACATTTTTGCCTGTGAACTTGGAGACATACTTCAAGTTCCCGCGTACATCGTACGGGTTAGGCAAAAGATGTGCGTCTATCTTAAAAAAAAAACTGTTGCATTAATGGCCCTTCGCTCATTTTCAACTTCTATTCAATTTTCATACTGCCGTACTCTAACGGAACTATCCACCTACCCTCTTCTAAAGATCATTCTCTAGCTAATAAATCATCACACTAAAGCTTCATGTTAGCATTTCCAACCAACTCTGAAAATCGTTAACTTCGCGTATGAAGTAACATAAAAACACTTTGAATGTTCTCACAGAAGTTTGAAAAGTTTCTCACAGAAGGTTGAAATGCTTAGCACAGAAGCTTGAAATGCTACTCCCAGAAGCTTGACAAGATTCTCACAGAAGCATAAAATGTTTCTTATAGAAGTTTGAAATATATCTCACAACGTTTGAAATGCTTCTCACAAAAGCTTGAAAAGCATCTAACAGAATAAATATACATGTAAAGCATCCCACAAAACCAGAAAAGTTTCTCATCGAAACTTGTAAAACTTGTCACAGAAGCTTGAATGGCTTCTCCCAAAACCTTGAAAAGCTTCTCACAAAATCTTGAAAAGCTTCTCACAAAATCTTGAAAAGCTTCTCACAAAATCTTGAAAAGTTTCTCACAAAATGTTGAAAAGCTTCTCACTGAAGCTTGAAAAACTTCTCACAGAAGGTTGAAAAGCTTTCTACAGAAGCTTGAAAAGCTTCTCACAGAAGCTTGAAAAACATCATACAAAAGCTCGAAAAGCTTCTCACAGTAACTTGAAAAGCTCCTCACAGAAACTTGAAAAGCTTCTCACAGAAGCTTGAGAGGCTTCTCACAGAAGCTTGAGAAGCTCTCCACTGAAGCTTGAGCAGCTTCTCAAGAAGCTTGAGAAGCTTGTCACAGAAGCTTGAAAAGTTTCTCACAGAAGCTTGAAAAGCTTCTCACAAAAGCTTGAAACGCTTCTCACAGAAGCTTGAAACGCTTCTCACAGAAGCTTGAAAAGCTTCTCACAGAAGCTTGAATAGCTTCGCACAGAAGCTTGAAAATTTTCACACAGAAGCTTGAAAATTTTCACACACAAGCTTGAAAAACTTACCATAGAAGCTTGAAAAGCTCCCCTAAGATGCTTGAAAAGCTTCTCATGGACGTTTGAAAAGCTTCTCATGGACGCTTTAAAAGCTTCTCATGGACGCTTTAAAAGCTTCTCACAGAAGCTCAAAAAGTTTCTCACAAAGCATAAAAAGCTTCTCACAAAAGCTTGAAAAACTTCTAACAGAAGATTTAAAAGCTTCTCACATAAGCTTGAGAAGCTTATCATAGAAGCTTATAAAGCTTCTCATAGAAGCTTGAAATATTTCTCACAGATGCTAGAAACGCTGCTCACAGAAGCTTAAAAATCTTCGCTTCAAATTAAAAAAAAAAATTCTCCATGGAGCTTGGAAAGTATTTCATAGAATATTGAAATGCTTCGCTCAAAGCCTTGAACAGTCATTATCTGAAGCTTGAAAAGCTGCTGATAAAAACTGTAAAAGCGTCTAACAAAAAGTGGAAAAGCATCTCACAAAGGCTTGACAAGCTTCAAAAGCTTCAAAAGCTTCAATCAAAAGCATGAAAAGCTTATCACAGAACCTTGTAAAGCTTCTCACGGAAACTTGAACAGCTCCTCACATACGCGTGAAAAGCTTCTTACAGACGCGTAAAAAGCTTATCACCCAAGCTTGAAGAGTTTCTTACAGAAGATTGCAAAACTTCTCATAGCAGCTTGAAAAGCTTCTCACAGTAGCTTGAAATGCTTCTCACAGATATTTGAAATGCTTCTCACAGAAGCACAGAAGATTTAAAAACTTCTCACAGACGATTGAAACGCTTCTCACAAAAGCTTGAAAACTTTTCACAAAAGTATGAAAAGCTTCTCGCAGAAACTTGAAATGCTTCTCACAGAAGCTTGAAATGCTTCTCACAGAAGCTTGAAATGCTTCTCCCAGAAGCTAAAAATTTTTGTCAAAGAAGCTTGAAACGCTTCTCGCAGAAGCTTGAAATGCTTCTCACAGAAGTTAGAAATGCTTCTCGTAGAAGCTTGGAAAGCATCTCACAGAAGATTGACAAGCTTCACACAGAAGATTGAAAATTGTCTCATAAAAGCATAATAAGCTTCTTCCAGAAGCTTGGTAAGCTTCTCTCAGAAGTTTCAAAAGCTACTCACAGAAGCTCGAACGTCACAGAACGTCTCATAGAAAAAATACGCTTGTAAAGCATTCTACAGAAACAGAAAAACTTCTGGCAGATGTTTGAAAAGCTTCTCACAGAAGCGTGGAAAGCTTCTCACAGAAGCTTGAAAAGTTTCACACAGAAAATTTAAAAGCTTCTCACAGACGATTGAAATGCTTCTCACAGAAGCTTTAAATGCTTCTCACAGAAGCATGTTAAGTTTCTTACAGAAGCTTAACAAGCTTCTCAAAGAAACTTGAAAAGCTTCTCACAGAAGCTTGAAATGCTTCTCACAGAAAAAATATGCTTGAAAAGCTTCTCACAGAAGCTTGATAAGCTTCTGCCAGAGCCTTGAAAAGCTTCTCACAGAAGCTTGAAAACCTTCTCACAGAAGTATAAAATATTTCTCATAGAAACATGAAATACTTCTCACAATATTTGAAATGCTTATAACAAAAGTTTGAAAAGCATCTCCAAAAGCTCGAAAAGCTTCTCACAGAACATAGTTGAAGATGCTAATTTCAAATAACAGACTGTAGTGGTAATTTTTATACGATAGATGGAGTAGATGAAGCATAGAGTTGATAGTTCCGTTAGAGTACGGCAGTGTGAAGATTGTATATAGATATTAGAATAGCGAACTAGGACAACTTTTTTTAAGGAAGGTACAAATCGGTTTTTTTCGACAGGACGATGACAGGAGCACATATCGTGGTAGGGGTAAACAATAGTTGCAATTTTCCAAACCTACGACTGGATGCTTTCCTTCAAATAACAATTGAAGTGCGGTAAAAATCGGTAGAACTGTTTCAAACACACAGTTGGTACTTGAACGGGTCGGTTTTCATCTCTTTTTGCCAGTGGTGGCGGGGGGGGGGACACCCCTCACCATCCCTCTCCAAAGGGGGAGTTTGGTAAAGAGAGATGAAAAAAACCGATTTGTACCTTCCTTAAAAAAAGTTGTCCTAGTTCGCTATTCTAATATCTATATACAATCTTCACACTGCCGTACTCTAACGGAACTATCAACTCTATGCTTCATCTACTCCATCTATCGTATAAAAATTACCACTACAGTCTGTTATTTGAAATTAGCATCTTCAACTATGTAAATCGTTGACTTCACGTAGAAGTAATACTAATAAACATATAGTCAAAGTTCTCACAGAAGTTTGAAAAGCTTCTAACAGAAACTTGAAAATCTTCTCACGGAAGTTTGAAAAGCTTTTCACAGAAGCTTGAAAATTTTCTCACAGAAACTTGAAATGCTTTTCACAGAAGCATAAAATGCTTCTCACAGAAGCTTGAAAAGTATTTCACAGAAGCTTGAAAGGCTTCTCACAGAAGCTTTAAAAAACTTTATACAAAAGCTCGAAATGTTTCTCACAGTAACTTGAAAAGCTTCTCACAGAAACTTGAAAAACTTCTCACAAAAACTTGAAATGCTTTTCACAGAAGCATGAAATGCTTCTGACAGAAGCCCGAAAAGTTTCTTACAGAAGCTTGGAAAGCTTCTCTCAGAAAAAATATCCTTGTAAATTATCCCACAGAAACAGAAAAACTTCTCACAGAAGTTTTAAATGCTTCTCACAGAAGCTTGTAATGCTTCTCACAGAAGCTTGAAATGCTTCTCACAGAAGCTTGAAATGCTTCTCATAGAAGCTTGAAAAGCATCTCAAAGAAGCTCGAAAAGTTTCTCACATAAGCTTGAACAGCTTCTTACAGAAAAAAAAACATGCTTGTTACGCATCCTACAGAAACAGAAAAGCTTCTCACAGAAGCGTGAAAAGCTTCTCACAGAATCTTGAAAAGCTTCTCACAGAAGCTTCAAAAGCTCCACACAGAAGCTTGGTAAGCTTCTTACAGCAGCTTGAAAGGCTTCTCACAGAAGCTTGAAAAGCTATGCGAAGGAGCTTGAAAAGCTTTTCATGGATGCTTGAAAAGCTAATCACAGAAGCTTGAAAAGCTTCTCAAGAAGCTTGAAAATCTTCTCACAGAAGCTTGATAAGTTTCTCATAGAACCTTGAACATCTTCTCACAGAAGCTTGAAAAGCTTCTCACAGAAGCTTCAAAAGCTTCTCACAAAAGCTTCAAAAGCTTCTCACAGAAGCATGGTAAACTTCTTATAGCAGCTTGAAAGGCTTCTCACAGAAGCTTGAAAACCTATGCAGAGAAACTTGAAAACCTTCTCATAAAGGCTTGCAAAGCTTATCACAGAAGCTTTTTGTCGCAGTAGCATGAAAAGATTGTCACATAAGCTCCTCAGAGAAGCTTGAACATCTTCTTACAGAAGCTTGGAAAGATTTTCACAAAAGCTTAAGAAGCTTCTCACAGGAGCTTAAAAATATTCTCGCAGTAGCTTGAAAAGCTTCTTACAGAAGCTTGTAATATTTCTTACTGAAGTTTGAAAAGCTTTTCACAGAAGATTGGAAAACTTTTCACAGAAGCTTGAAAAGATTCTCACAGAAGCTTGAAAAGCGTCTCACAGAAGCTTAAAGCGCTTCCTACAGATGCTAGAAATGCTTCGCTTAGAGCTTTGAACAGCCATTATTAGAAGTTTAAAAAGCTGTTGATACAAACTGGAAAAGCATCTAACAGAAACTGCAAGAGTTTTCACAAAAGCTGGAAAAGGTTCTCATAGAAGATGGGAAAGCTTCTCACAGAAGTTTGAAAAGGTTGTCAATAAAGCTTTGTAAATCTTCTCAAAATATCTTCAAAAACTTGTCACAGATTCTCAGTAAAACTTGAAAAGCTTCTCACGGAAGCATGAAAAGCTTCATTTTTCTATTTGGAAAGTTTTTATTTACTTTGAAGTTTGGAAAATTTTCCACCCAAATGTAACCGAATCTCACAAATGCTTATTAAATCATCTCGTTCCTCTCCCACCAGGACACCAGCTTTACGCGTCCAGCCAATCCGATGCCATCGCTTCCCAGTGCCTCGTCGGTGTCAGCTGGTGCAGTGGCACCGGCATCAACCAACGGCAACAGCCAGTACGCGGCGGCCAATAGCAACAACAATAACAATCATAGTAGCGGTCCCAGTCAGCAGCACCAGCAGCAGATTGCGACGATAGAGCCCCCTCCGAGGGGGCTAGTCGGCGGTAGTAGTGGTCAAGCGCAGATGGCCATTCCGACGGTAACGTGTGACTTTGCGTCGGACATGTCCACCAGCGAGGCGGCAGATCACGACCACGCTGCGGCCGTGTTGGAGATGAAAGATACGCTTCAAGTGGGTAAACCGGGGATAGGTCTCACGTCACTGCCATTGCTGAGAGGGAACAACGGGGCAGCTGCGGGCCGCGGGGGTAGCAGTAGTTCCGGGGTGGTGGTTAGTCCAGGGTTAGCTAGGAATAGAGCACTTTCGGTAGGAATAGAAACGGACATGGTGAGTGAATTTGATCCTTCGAGTTCAGATTCGGGTGTAATTAGTAGATGCGCGGTAGTAAAACCGCTCAAGTTTAGGCTGTGTCAACCAATTTTCGGCAAGAAGGTAGGAAAGGGTCGTAATAAGAATAATAATGCGAGAGGCAATTGTGCGGGGGTGGGACCAACGGCGATGGGAGGGCAAGCCATATCGATTTCGGCCAAGCAGAATGATAGTGCTTGCAGTGAAATGGAACCAGCACTGCCAAAGCCAAAACCCAGGGATCCGGAGAAGGAGAAACGACGGATAGCGAGGAAGAAGGAAAAGCGAGCCACGCTGATCCTGGGATTGATTATGGGAAGTTTTATTGCTTGCTGGTTACCATTCTTCTTCCTTTACATACTGGTGCCAATTTGTAAAGACTGCCGCATACCGGACTTTGCATTCTCGTTGGCCTTCTGGCTGGGTTACATGAACTCGGCATTGAACCCGGCCATTTACACCATCTTTAACAAGGACTTCCGGAGAGCCTTTCGCCGGATACTGTTCAAGTGATGTTTGGCGTACGTGTGCTGCTACCGCTGCGTTTCCCGGAGCATCGAAAAAGCGACGGAACGTGCGGTCAGCGGTGCACAGCTGGGTGGCGGTTACCGAGGAGGCTATATGCGATAACCCCCTTAGAAGGCGTGCTCCCTTCGGAAACCTACCACCATCACCACCGAAGCGCTTTTGTGTATGGCGTTTCTCCCAATGCCACCCCGTTCTGCACTGACACTCGGGGTGGCACCGTCGAGACCAGCTAAATACATTCAAACACCAATAACTGGCCGGGAAGAAGAAACAGAAGAAGAAGAAGAAGACACTCGTCAGACTCCGGAATTTATTTTTTTCATTTCGGAGTGGTTTCCTTACTTTAAGAACTCGAATCCCACCCAGAAGGAAAGGACAAGAAAGAGAATATTTCTTTCTTCTATTTGGTTATCTTTTTGTATAGGAAGACTAGTTAGCTGGAAGATGAAACAAACTCGCAAATTTTATACGAACCACACCGCTGCTGGTGTACTTTCCAGTATTGATGTGAAAGCATGAAGAGCCTTCCCACCTACCGTCGATTGCGTCAGCGCCCATACATTAGACTGGTTTGGAGTGGAGGGGGTGAACTGTTTGGAGAAGCGGCCAATAGTTTATTTTAGAAGGAATGAAATGTTTCAGAATTGTTTTGATATTTTCTCTATTTAGTTTTCTCATTTGAAGTTTGTTAGGTGTCATAAAAGTGCAGTGCTTAAAAAGCGACTATCATCAGCCATCAGAATATACCATGAATGATCCGAATGATCAGCACCTGACCGCCAGTGGTTTTACGACAAACGGAAATTCTTTTGCCAATGAATTCACTCACGATCAGTCTCAATCGCTATGGACATGAAACATCCTAATGTTTTTCGAAAATTAAAAAAAAAATAGTCAGCTTGTGGAGGTCTGCTCCGGAGTCAACGATTTTCGGTATTCCCTGCTAAAATTTGAACCTCTTCGTTATTGGTCCGACAACTTAATTTATACTGTTTTTCAAAGCATTCAGATTCAGATTCAATCCATACTACAAAATTACCAAAGCTCAGAAAAATCTTATCAATTTGTAATGCAATAGGTTCAGTGAATTGGTCAATTTTGAAAGTTTTGACCTGGAGGATTAACATGCGGCCATCCTTTTCAACAGCTCCGACCACTTTTGAATAAATCATGGTTTTATAGGATTGGTTATACTTGAATATCTGCTCCGATTGCTTAGAAAGAAAAACCTGTGGCCATCCGAAGTCCTGATCTTAGTCGCACTTCAGTGTTATGAGGAATGCATGGGTTTTGAACTATTGCGCAAAACATTGTTGAAATTTGCTGAAAATCATTGGGAAACTTCTATACATCTATGACAGAAGTTTCAAACGGCAGGTTTGATAGGCAGGTTTATCCAAATTCATCAAGAAATTTTATGTCTTTCAAATTAAGTTAATAATTCCCTAGTTTATTGAACTAATAAAACTGGCTTGTCCTGCTACCTAAGTTTAGCAAGCAAAGATGGCAATGCAGTATTTAAGACACTAAGACTACGAACAATACTCAAGGTGTCGGGTTATGAAAAACTTCCGAGATCCCGGATTTGGAAAGGATTGGCTACTGGGCAATTCTTAACAAAAAATACTCTTTGGTAGGGTATAGAACTACTTCGGCCTAAGCTCCCATTTTGGGCCTATCAAGCAGGAAACATCAAATATATCCATGATTTCAGTTTTAACAGGTAAATTATGCATTTGGTACGATACTTAAGCTCAAATGCTACCGAACGAAGTCAATAAGAACGCGTGATATGAATGTTTGCACCCAATATTCTCAAATACAAATGACTCGCTCCGATCGAATCAATCTTTATCTTCATCCGATGGGCCGAATTAAATTCATTTGCGTTTCAATGGCGTTTCAATGCGTTTAGAATCCGTAGACAGGGTTTGGCGTCAAGAAATAGTGTGAGACTTTCAACAATATCTCAACAATTTGTTTCTCTTTTTCAAATCTTACGGTACGTACGGAAAGGTAAATAAATTTGGAAGCCATCAGTAATAATAACATTTCGTTTGATGCTTAAATACGCTAGATTAAGAAATACTAAGTGTGGGTTGTGCTTAATAGGCCGAAAATGGACCCTACCTGAAAATTCCCAGCACTCGGTAAGGCCACGAAAGATTCATGAGAACTCTGATGAGAATTTCTAAAAAAAAAATTGTGGAGAATTTCAAACGAATCTAGTGAATATTCCTAAGGAATTCCGGAGAAGTAAGTAAGAAGAAGTAAGTAGTTCTGGGAGATTTCCAAGCAAGTTTTATTTTGAGCTTCATGGTGATTCTGAGAAGCATTAAAAGTAAATTATGAAAAGAACACCCAAGATAGTTTTTAGTAGCATTTCAATGTGGTTTCAAAGTAATTCTGAAGAAAATTCCATGGGGATTGGTAAAAGAATACCAAGTGAACTCCGATGAGCATTCAAATGAAATTCAGAATAAATAAAAAAAGACATCGGATAGTAAACGTATATGAATACTAATGCGATTTCCCAGATGTTCCGAAGAGAATTTTGAAATAAAAAATCCATAGGAATTTTAAGAAAACTCTAATAATTCTGGAGATATTTTCAAAGAAACTCAAAGGAAGATTCCGGATTGATTCGTGATTACGGCGTACATTTTTTTGTAAACAATGCTCAATCTCGGAGACTGAGAACAATGATCAGGTAGATGAATGATTCCTCTACCATTTAGCATAGTTTGTTCGTGAGATTGAGCATTTATCCGCGAGAAATCGGTGATTGAACACTTTGTTTACAAAAGCATGTACGCCCTTATCACAAATCAGTCCGGAATTCCTAGGAAATTTCTTGGGAAGTTTCAAGAGAATTCCAATGAGAAATTCAAAGAGAGTTCCAAATGAATTAATAGCAATATGCCGAGCAGATTTCATTTGGGTCTCTTATGAGTGCTCACGTGTTCCTGTGAAGACAGATACCATAAAACGAGGTGTCTTTGATAATGCGGGTAACTTTGATAGTATAATATAATGGCTAAATTTACCTTCTGCATTATTTCCTTATTGACAACATTGGTTTAATTTTGTAGCTTTGATAACGTATAGAGTTTTAATATATAGTATGCGCATATTTTCAAATTTTTGAAAAAAAAATCTTGTTTTTCTTTTGTTGAAAAATCACTCAAACAATCACCTATCACATGTATTTCTGAAATAGCCATCACAAATGTAATACTGTATTCTTATTGCTTATGATGTTTCAGATTAAATCCTTATTCAAAGTTTCATATTTCTTGAACTAGGTTGTTTGAGTTTCACGCATATTTTTTCAACATTAATCGAGTATTGTCAAAGTAACCCCAAAACAAAAAAAAAAACTGATGCCGGTCACAAAACAAAAAATAGTGCAAATGCAATAATTGCTGTTAAACATTATCCTAATTAACTTATTGACTCTAGAGTGCTCAGTACATGTTTAAAAAATTTTTTGAAAAACATTCATTGTTGTAAACAATATTCAGAAAATGCTATGAAAAAACTAATTCGAAGCGAAAAATTAAATCTAACGCGTGGATAATATTTAACCGAATAAAAAAAAAAAAAAGTTATTGAAAATTGCAGGAACTTTTGATGTTCTGAGATATTTAGGGAAGTTCATTGCTCTTTCGAGGAATTTCGAACTTAAGGAAAGCTTCAAATTCATCAGAGATGTTCCAAGAATTTAAGGAAATATTCAGAGAAGTTTCAAAAACCTAAAGCTACAAGAAAGTTCTGAGCATGCCGGAAGTTTAAAGATCTTTAAGGTTAAGTTCCAATAACTTCAGGGCAGTTTCATAAGCTTCATAAAAAATCGTGAATCAAGAACTCGAGAGCTTCTGAGCAGCTGTATGAACAATGTTCAATGAACATTAAAAATGTTTTGGGAACTTTATCGAATATGCAAAAATGTTGAGTACTTCCAGGCCATTTTTCCGTGTTGGGTATATTCATCACTGGAACCAATACTTTGATCTACTCTATTATTCCGGAACATTTGATTAACTTCAGAATGAATGCAGGAATTGTACAGATATTTCAAGAAAAAAATCCTGGAATCATCAAAGAAGTTCGGAGTCCTATGATCGTCAAATAAAAAGCCGGGAAATTCAGAAAATATGGAAAGCATTATAAAATTTGAATTAACGGTTTAACATCACACAAATTTTGAGAACCTTCAAAAATTTATGAGAATTTCATGGAAATTCCAAGAATTTCAATGAGGCTCCAAAAAAATTTGATTGGATGAATTTTAAGAACCTTCATAACTACGCGGAAGTTTTAATATATTTTCTGAGAACATAAGGGCATATTAGGAATATTAGGAAAATTGCGAGAAATTCAAGAAAGTTCCGAGAACTACTAGTTCATTTCAAAAACATAAGATCAGTTGCATTAAATTTAGGAAAAATAGCGAGACCATTAAAGAAGTTTCAGAAACTTAAGACGGTCCAGAAAACATCAGGGAAGTTAAAAGAACTTTAGAAAAAAAATCAAAAACTTCACAGAAGCTCTGAAAAGTTCATGGAAGTGCAGAAACCGTCGTGTTGCTAAGATCGTTAGAACAGTTTGCAGGACGGATAAACGAACCAGACTACAAATATTAATTTAACGGAAATTCCAAGCATATCATCAGAAAAGTAGTGAGCACTTCAGGGTGGTCCACAAAAATCGTGGGAACTTCAAAACAAATGTTCCGAGGAGTGGAAATACCAAGGATTCATGGAAGTTTCATGAATTGACTTTGGGATAGTAAGGGAAATTCTGCGAATTCTTCAAAATGTGGGGCACTTCCCTTTGAAGTGGTTCCATCAGCCTCAGGGAAATTGCAGAAACTTTTACGAAATTCTAGAAAGTCGAGAAAACTTGAGGAAAATCGTATAAACGTTAAAGAAGCTCCCAGGACCTCAGGGAAGCAAGGTCTAGAAATCTTCATGGAAGCTCAGAGAACTTATGGGCAGTCTCAAATAATTCTGCGACGTCCAGAATTTCGGGGAAGATTAAAGATCTGAAAAAATTAGCTTCGAGAGATTTGGGGCAGCTTCATAAACTTCAGGAAAATTTCGAGAATCTTTCCAAAGA